GTCATATATTCAATTAAGTTCATTTTTATAGCAGCAATTCACAACACGCATCATCTCAAGGCTTTTTACAGAGAAAATACAGTCAGATTGGTTCAAAGTTTCTGTCATAAAAAGCAGTTGATTGATTCCAGTCACTGAATTGAAAGACACGCTCCTCCTGGAAGAGGCTGAGGGGATGACTTTTGGTTGCATTAGGGTTATATATCATCCATCCATTTTCTGACACGTTTATCCCTGCTGGGGTCGTGAGGGGTGCTGGTGCCTCCAGCTGTCTATGGGTGAGAGGCGGGGTCAACCATGGACAGGTCTCCAGTTCATCCCAGGGCAACACAGAGACAAACAGGACAAACAAACATTCATGCACACACTGACACCTAAGGAGAATTTAGAGAAGCCAATTAACCCAACAGTCATGATTTTGGACTGTAGGAGGAAGCCAGAGTACCCAGAGAGAACCCACGCATGCTCAGGGAGAACATGCAAACTCCATACAGAAAGACCACGGGCAGCAGTGCTACCCACTGCAGGGTTATGTATACAGAGAGTAAAATAAGTTTTGCACACGCCACCATTTTTCTCAGTAAATCTATTTCTAGAGGTGCTACTGACATGACATTTTCACCAGATGCTGGTAACAATCCATGCGATCCACACATACCAAGAAATCAAACCATAGATGCCCAGAAATTAAGTTATGTGTAATAAAGTGAAATGACACAGGGAAAAAGTATTGAACACATGAAGAAAGGAAGGTGCAAAAAGGCATGGAAAGCAAAGACACCAGCTGAAATCTCTCAGTAACTAGAATGCAATCCTGCCCCATGTCAGTGCAAATTAATAACGGCACAGGTGTTCCCAATCAACCAAGCAGCGTGCCGACTGGGACGCTGATTAAAAAGGCAGCTGTTTGGTTGGAGAGACACACCGGACATGGGAAGGTTTGGTTGGGGAGACACACCGGACATGGGAAGGCCGATCTTGGAGGGAGCCGGACGGAGCGGGTGAGAGAGAAGCAGCGGGAGGTTTGGGAACTGACGGCCGGAGGCCCGCTGGAGCGAGGTGCAGAGACGCGCACCGGAGCGAGGTGCAGAGACGCGCACCGGAGCGAGGTAGAGAGGCCCGTCATGGAGCGAGGCGCAGAGGCACGCTGGCGAGAGGCACGTGTTGGAGGTGACCTCGCAGGCCAGCTACGCTGGAGAGGCCC